TTCCAGTGGTTAGTATCATGGTTGCTAGGCAACCTGGGCAGCGCAACGGAGGCTAGACTGTCCCATTACACAAGCCTCGCACTTCCGGCCTTAGCGGTCTTTGAGTACGCGGCCCTTGAGGATCGTTGAGGCTGCGTACTTTAAGGCTGCAGACCCTGAATTGGGATACAGCCATAGAGCGAGCTGTATGGCTCGCCCCCTCCCTCCTGTGCTGAATCGTAAGCGTAAGCGAATCACTCAGGACTCGCTCACCCCCTCCCTCCTGTGCTGAATCATAGAGGAACGAATCACTCACTGGCTGTATCCCAATTCAGGGTCTGCAGCCTTAAAGGCTGCATTTTAAGGCCGATTACGTCACAGTGGCTCGCCGAAGGCTGTCCCAATTCAAAGGCTGCTTGAAATGCGGCCCTGAAATGCGTCCTTCATTTCCCTGAATTTTAAGGCAGTGGCAGTGTAGACTTTGTAGCCCAACAGACATGGTGTGATTTTCTCACCCAATAAAGGAATATTTAATATTTCAGTCTACTCTTCATTTTTATCAGAAACAGTTATCACAGCTTGTACATTTGCTTTTTACACATATATGTAAGCAATGAGCCAAATTTAGTAATGCCAACATACTGAAGGAACAACATTTGTCTCTTATATATAATACATCTATATATACACTGTCAAAGATACTTGAGTGTCTTTGAGTGAAGGTTTAAGATGATAGGACATATGAATAGCTGCAACTTGAATCTTTACTGAAGCTCAGTATTAGACACAGAGTTCACTCACATGTGCTGTACCAGTGTACCTGCAAATGTGATGTGACAATAGAAGTGATTTGATTTGAGAGTTCAAACTCACTGCTGTAATAACTAATAATGATTAATATAATAACTATAATATTGGCCATCTCATATTTACACTGACTTTAGCCTCATGAACAACATTAACTATTTGTTATTTACTAGCTAATCTTATATGACTGTTCAGTACAGATATGAAGCCCAACAATCATGTTTTACAGTCCTGTGGTCTCAGCCTCAGATACTTATTAAATCACACAAAGCTTGTGTAGAAACAAACAAACAAATAAACAAAATATGTTCTCCTTCATTTCTGTCAACCACACGTTTCACGCTATCATGGTTGCTAGGCAACCTGGGCAGCGCGACGGAGGCTAGACCGTCCCATTTCACAAGCCTCACACTTCCGGCCTTAGCGGTCTTTGAGTACACGGTCTTTGAGTACACGGCCCTTGAGGACCGTTGAGGCTGCGTACTTTAAGGCTGCAGACCCTGAATTGGGATACACCCACTCACTCACTCACCCTCTCCCTCATGGCTCACAGCTTCTTCTTCTTCTTGGTTGGCAACCAATGTTAAGGTGCATTACTGCCCCCAGGCTCACAGCTCAGTGGACATTTACATGAGAAAATATATATTTGACACATTTAAGGAAAATACTAATAAAATAAAAAAAAATTAAAAACCCACCCTTTCCTATTGGTCGAAAAATGTACCATGTCAACCAATCAAAAGATGATATGGCAACATGGCATTTAGTTGTTTAGGAAGGGGGGAAGTTTTAGGAGTGATGGCGGTGTTTTGAGATGTGAGAGATTTGCAAAGTTTAGCGCAAATCTTGTGTAGTGTAGTGTAGTCAATAGTTTTCTTGTGTGTGTCAGAACAATGAAGCGACTGCTAAATGTTACAGCTGTTACAGGAGTGATACATCTCCTGTTGTCAGGCCTGCAGGTATCAGGCTTGTGATGTTCTCCTTTATCTCATAGTGGACAGAAATTATTTTTTGGAGTGGCACAAATAATTTGTGTGGCATCAAATTTGATGCAGAACACCTGATAGTTCTGTAAATAATTTGAAATGTTTATTTTAAAAAAATGTCTTGTTTGCATAACTCAGTTACTTTTTTGAAGAAGCAACTATATAATTAATTGCCCAACATTGGTCATTATATCCTGTATTTTGCAGACAGAGTTACAGGACTCTCTCCCAGACCACAGACTCATACTCATAATATAAGTCAGAGCTTTATATTAAAAAAAAAGAAAAGAAAGAAAGAAAAAAAAAAAAGGAAAGTTGTGTTTTCAAAATTGGAGTTCAAGTTATTTTTTACTTCCAATAGTGTTAACATACTACACAGGTCATGAACAAGATTTTAATTTTCATTGTAAGTGGGCTAAAGCAGTCAATTAAAAGTAGTCTAACATAAATGTAAAAGCTGTAATTTGATTCTTTTAATTAACCATGTAACTTGGATAGATTAGATGCTGGCGTGACCACAGTGCACACATCTGCTGTTGCTCACAGTGGTCCAAGGGACTGCTCAGGGAGTTTGTGTGTTCACTCAGACACATGAAAAATTAGAGGGAACATTGGTGGTCACTACAGTGGACAGCTATTCAAAGGTTTTTTTCTTGTATTTGTGTCAGTGTTGATGGTATACTTGCACATAAACCACTACATTGGACACTGATGTGTCAGTCCATACCCTGCCATGTTTAAAAAACATGAAAAACGTATGTTTAAAAAAATGAAGTTCAAAATGCACATGCTAGTTCAAAAATCTTTTTTTTCATGCCTAAATATGAATAAAAATACTTAAGAAAAGTAAAAATCCCGATTGAGGTTGTCATAATTCATGCATGAAAGGCTCCAACTCTAATGTACTGAGAAACCGCATCCACTTCAGTTTTTGTCATCTGCTTTGCATGCAGTGCTTGTGTTGAAATATGAAACTTTTCAAACACCAGCGCAGGCGCCACCGAATCAGATCACATTATCAGCGGAAATCCTGAGTGAGAGAGATAGTTCCTTATGCAGTTTGGCACCAAAATGAAGAAGTTAACAACTGTGATAGGTAATCTGTGTTAAGCAATGTGTCCATGTGAATCTTGCCTTAGGACAGTGGTTCCCAAACCTTTTTTGCTAGGCCCCCCTGTGTTTTACAAGAAAAATGTCTGCCCCCCCCCCCCCCCCCCCCCCGCCATATTTTGCTCCATTGTTGTTTATTTCACACCTCAAACATTTAGTAAACAATTAAGCAAATACAAGTAAGCTGCAATAAATTACAGGTAGTAATAAAAAAAAAACCTACTAACTCTTTTACGCTACGTCCACACCTACACGGGTATTTTTGAAAACGCAGCTCTTTCTGTGCGTTTGGGCCTTTCGTTCACACGTAAACGGCGTTTCGAATCACCAAAAACTGAGATTTTTAAAACTCCTTTTTTGCATTTAAGTGTGGACGATGAATACAGAGTTTGTCACGCAACGTCAAAGGTATGTGCCTTTTTTCACGTCACGCTGTACTACTACTGTACTAATACTGTTACTGTTAATCTGACTATCTTCAGGTTTTACACGCTTACATATACACATGCAGTTACTGTCCCTCCATTTAGAAAGGCAGAGGCGTCATGGTGTAATTATTTTACGTGTAGCTGTTTTTTTCCTGTGTAATAATATTCAACATTGCTATCAATACATTTTTCAAAAAATGCCTCTCTGTGAAAAATGGGTTCAAAAACATAAACAACTGTGGAATACTGTTTGTTCGTAATTTGAACCGGGGGACAAATTGTGGCAGGATCAGCCTGATATTATTTTTATCCCGCTGTAACTTTACTGTATAAAGAGCTAACATCTCCAAAATGTCAGGAGTAGTTAGTCATTACAACAAGTGTTTGTGAAATAAAAATCAAGAATGTGGGATACTGTTTGTCCGTGATTTGGAGAGCCCAGCGCGTGCTCCCGACGAAGGTAAAACCAATTAAGCAGGGGAGACCTACCTTGGCACTTGTGCAGGTGAAGCCAAAGGGAAGATATGCTTCACCATATTTTCTAGTCTTTGGCTTAGAATGAAGTTGGTTTGGAAACATATTCAGCGATGCTTCATCTCCTGCTTTGCGTTTGTGTTGGCGCCCCGTGCTAGCAGTGTCCAAGCGTTTTGGGTGTTTTTCCCCCTTTTCATACCGTGCCCCCCCCAGTGTTGCCAACTCCTTAGTAAGGAAAATCGCTATTGGCTGTCCTAAAAGTCGCTAGAAGTCGCTAAATGACGTCATCGCCTAATCTGCATAATTGGTCATGCTAATCTAATTGTAACCTATGTTGTTGGAGAGAGAAATAACATCGTGGAAGAGACATAAAGTGAGTAAAAAACGTCCTAAATGGATTTAGAGTTTATTTAGAACTACAAATGAAATTTCTTTTAGCAATTATTGTTTTTTTTAATGTCACAATTCCAACCCTGCTCCTTTACCCGGGCTTGGACCGGCAAAAGTGACACGAAATAGGCACTCTGGTGGAGTTACTTTGTGTGTGTGTTTATAAGTAGTTTTAAACCTTGTGATCCACAAAACAGCATAAGAGTAAAAGAGTAAAAGAAGAACTGACTGCGTTACAGCACCCGCTGCTTTTTGAGAGTAAAAGCGATACGCGCTTTCACGTCTTTTTTTAGCAACTTTTTTTAGAAAAAAGTCGCTAAGGGGTCTGAAAACTATATATATAAATATAGCGACAAAGTCGCTAAGTTGGCAACACTGCCCCCCCCCTGCAATGGCTCTACGCCCCCCCTAGGGGGCGGGTCCCACACTTTGGGTAGGTCTGCCTTAGGATAAGTCACTTTGTTGGGAATGGCTTCTCTCTCTAGCATTCTTTATTCTTTGCTTGCCATATGTTGCCATTGAAAATCTTTCAAAACCTCGGAATTCATGGGCTAAACATCCTTTAAGCAGGTAAAAAGAATGTTTTTTAGCCTCCAACTAATAATTTCAAAGCTGATTTCTCTTTGAAATTCCTTCATGAATTATTGATTGCAACAACATTAGGGAAAAACAGTCAGAGACTTTGATGTTAATAACCTCAACCTCATTGCACCTGAATGCATTGTGGTTAGAATTGTTGCCTTGCCTTTTACAGTTGCACATGACTGTAATGATATCTAACATAAAGGCTGCAGAAGCAGTTGCCTTCTGTATCCTGCGGTCTTACCATTAAAAGTGCAGCCTGTTGATCCATGGTCTGTCCGGAAGGCCCAGCGACCTGGTTCATTGACGTTGCTGCTAAGGCGAAAATTTGAGTTACTCCCTGATGCAGCACTGGTGAATGATCCAGGGAGGACATAATAGTGAGTGGAGCCAATTGTATCATAACCAGCCTACAAATGTGAGTCACAAGAATATGATTAATGCATTTAGAAATAATGAATGTTTTTTCATTAGTGACTATGCAGAGCATTGACTATAGTAGGTCTGACCTGAATTCTCAGTGTTGTTGAGGCTATTATACCGTAGTTCATCAGCACAAATGAATATTGGCCTCCAGAGATCAGCACAGCTTGGACAGTAGTGCGCTGGAAAATATGAATTCAGTTTACTATATGTTCTGTTTGATCAGTGTTCTGCTGGATTTACACCTAATTTTGTTATGATACACTTTTCATGTATCACCGTATCAAATGTATTAATTCATAATTTGTGCTTCAATTTCAATGGTCTAGATTTCAGATCATTACTATTAACCACCTTAGTTTCTTAATATGAAATGCTTTAGGTAATCTTCAGGTATCACTTTTTTTATAAAAAAGCACAATATTGAAAAATAATCTTTGTATGAAATCTGTCACAGGAATTCATGTCTTTATGTCTGGAAGATGACACTAGATTACACTAACCTACTGTTCCTGAGTTAGTAGGCAACAGACTTTCACGTACACATCACACATAAGCACATAATTTAATTCCAAATTTTGGAAGCTGACTTACTGTTCCGCTTGTGGGATAATAGGCCACCTCAAACCAAGTTGCAACAAAGACCCAGTTGGCATTAAAGTTCAGTCCTGGAAAGTATTGATTGATGTCCCGTGTAGCTTGCTGGAGAACACTGCCACTGGTGTATTGGTTGTAGTAGATCTGACCATTTCCTCTGTTGTCTAAATCTGTCCAGAATGGAGCGATGATGTCTCTTAATCCATGCATTGGAATCAGTTGGGGTACATAGCTATACCATGGTGCGTCAAAGGTCAGGTGTCCATTGTGATTGACCTGAAAAAAAAAGGGAAAATAAAAACATTCTTGCAAATACGTTGTGGGAACCTCTGACTTATAAATTCACTTAGTGGACCAGTAAATGTTAGGTGTCCATTATGATTGACCTAAAAAAAAATTGAAAAGAAAAGAATATTTCCTGTCACAACATCTAGATAAACAGATTCAGATTTTGTTTTGCAAACCAGGTTTTATATTGTAATTAGTGGCAGGAAGTTTAATTAGACAGCTAAATATTTTTATGGTACAAATGTAGTAAATGAATTGTTACTGTTAATTTTACATACGTAAATGCTGTTATATGTCCTCCCAAAATAGAAAAAAGGTCTTAGCAGGGTAATCTTTGGAGAACTTCCATCATCTATCGCAGAGCTTGCAGTTCCAGATGTTGGGTAAAGAGGTCCTAAGAAGCAATTAGGTAGACCATGAAAAAGACAGAAAAGGCCTATATGGTTAATATTCTGGAAACATAAATATAAAACATTCATCGCTGGCTTTCAGTCTTTACTCCTATGTATGTGTAAATGTGATATAAATTGAGGATAAACTGATGAAAGTCAAATCTTTAGAGAAGGTTTTGAGAAGACACAAACTTACTGACAACCTGAGCAGTCACACCTATACATGAAAAAAACACAAATAAATAAAATGCAAAGCAGAAAATTATGTTTTCCAAGATTGCAAGATTTTATTTCTGATCCAAAAACTTTGAGTGATCACTTAGGCAAAAATAAACACACCATAAAATGGATTAAAGGAACATAAATACAATTACTAACCTGTCATTCCAAAAAGCAGCACAAAAAACATGATTGGACCTGCCATTCAGTCAAATCAGATCTCTTCATTTAAAAGGGAAAATTTATTTTTTGTTTAATTTATAACCTAAGTGCAGAGCTAAATTCAGATGAATCTGTTGAATCTTGATGTAATATTAGTTGTGAGTCTCTCACGCTCATTTGAGACTGCAGGGGACACACAAGGCTTTATATAGTTGGGGATATTTACCTAAGAAATGTAATCTAATACTCTATCAAAGGATATTCAAGAAGAATGATATCAGATACCGTTACCATGGTTAATAGTCAAGCAGTAACTTTAGCAACCATAGAACAGATCCCGGACAAAGGGTTTACTGCTGACACAGTAAACCATTCTCAAAATACAAGTGATGGTAAATACTGTACTTACAGTCAGGAGGAAGGAGTGGAGGAAGACAAAATGTTTTTGCCTCATCAGTTTTGCTGCATTAAGTAAATTGAGAAGCTCTGGCTTTTTCTTGTCCATGCTGACTCTACATGACAGAAAAAAAAATGTATGGGTGTCTTCTGCACACTGAAACACTGAAATTCATCAAGTCAAGTAGTGGACTCCAGCTGTAGCTCAAATCAATTCAGTTAAATTAAATTATATTTATACAGTGCCAAATCAAAAGCACCAGCTGCCTCAAGGTGCTTTATATTGTAAGGTAGACCCTACAATAATACATACAGAAAAAAAACAAACAATCAAATGACCCCCCTATGAGCAAGCACTTTGGCGACAGCGGGAAGGAAAAACTCCCTTTTAACAAGAAGAAACGTCCAGCAGAACCAGGCTTAGAGAGGGACGGCCATCTGCTGCAACGGGTTAGGGAGAGAGAAGGAAGACAGAACAAAGGACATGCTGTGGAAGAGAGCCAAAGTTTAACAGCAAGTATGATTCAACACAGAGAGGTCTATTAATACATAGTGAGTAAGAAAGGTGACTGAAGAAGAATCACAGGCAGAATAACTAAGGGAGGATTCAGGGTCACCTGATCCAGCCCTAACTATATGATTTAGCAAAAGGAAAGTTTTAAGCCTAATCTTAAAAGTAGAGATAATGTCTGTCTCCTGAATCCAAATTGGAAGCTGGTTCCATAGAAGAGGGGCCTGAAAACTGAAGGCTCTGCCTCCGATTCTACTTTTAAATACTCTAGCAACAACAGGTAAGCCTGCAGTGCGAGAGCGAAGTGCACTAATGTGGTGATATGGCACTACATATGGAACGCCAGGACTGCCATAATGAATTAATTAAATACACCATTAAATAATTAATTAAATCAGAATCAGAATCAGAATCAGAATACTTTATTGATCCCTGGGGGAAATTATTTTTTGTTACAGTGCTCCATTTTAAACCAACAATAATTGTGGCAATAATTAATTAAAATTGGAATTAATTAATTAAATAAATAGTTATGACACATGTAATTAATTAATTATTGACACATTTAATTAATTATTTATGTATTTCACATTTTAATTAATTATTGACACATTTAATTAATTAATTATTGACACATTTAATTAATTATTTATGTATTTCACATTTTAATTAATTATTGACACATTTAATTAATTATTGACACATTTAATTAATTATTTAATGATATATTTATTTATTTCATTTTGGCAGTCCTGACGCCTGGCTCTCATCATGAAATAATTTTATCTGTCAGCCTCACCCATCAAACTCAGGGGGCGGGGTTAACGCTGATCGAGTCAAAACCATTGCTTTGGCCTGGTGGCCATTGTTTCTAGCACACAACAACCGGCATGTGGAAGCTAACAGAACTGAGCTTTGAAAAACCCTGTTTGTGTGTCACCAAATACCGTTTTAATATTTTTTTAGCCAAGAATGTAGTGGTTTAATCTTCATGTGTCTGGTCGGTTTGTCAAGATACAGCCTCTTTGCAAAAGTGTTTCGATGATTTCGGAGATGTCTGCCCAGTCTCACGGCAAAGCGTGGGATAGACCCGCTCGCCTCGCAAGCAATCCCACCGACAAAGCGCAGGCCCCGGTACACAGCTGTAGTAACCCCCGCTGACTTCTTTTACTGAGGTTATATTTATCGGTGTTTTATTTCCTGATGTTCTTATGTGTCCTACGTGTTTCAGTCGCCAATTCTGAATTATAACTAACATTAAAAACATGTTTAAGGAGGAGAGAGAGCAAATAAATCTGTTTAACATCTGATCTTTGGGTTTTTGTTCAGTAATCAGCGTGACCTGTGTATAAACGCATAAAAGAGATAACGTTGGTGTTTCTGTCATGTAGTAACTGCTGGCTTTAACTGTACAAAGGTTGTTCGACACTATGAAACACATACAGACTTCATGATGTTCGGCTAATATTTTTATTGTGAATATTAATCATGCTGACCTCGCTCTGTACACCACGCAGCGAGGTCAGCATGTCCACGATATCCACGATATCCTCAGCTCCATGAGTTAACACAAAGTTTCCCACCTGACTATCTAACTTCCAACTATTCCAGAGATGTGAAAATATACAGCATAAAGAAAAGTGTAAGAGACTCAGCAGCAGATTAGAATAACAGTTATAGATTTAATAAATCACCAAATGAATCCAAGAAACGAGCAAACCTGTTCCGACAATTTGAGTTTGTATTCCCTCAGCTGCAGACTCGCTGCTGTTTAAATGTTTGAAAAGGAAGATTAGATATAAAAAACATAGACTCAGTCTGCCTTCACATTTGATATGAGGCCAGCACGTATAGTGGCCTCAGCTATTACTGAAATACACGTGCTATATCATAAACTATGATATAAATAGGGAGGTCCTATTAACATGTTTAGTTTTAAAGGACACCTTCCTGCCTTTAGTCTCATTCATGAGCAGTATTAGTTTTCTTCTAACATCCAGAAGTCTGCACGATGTGTTTCATAGTTTGTAACAAGGCTTTGCAGGTAAACATAACATGACCGAAAAAGCAAAAAAAAAAAAAAAAAAAAAGAGAGAGAGAGAGTTGACATAAGAAGAGAAAATGATCTCAATTATGGAGACAGGCAAATGGTTCATTTATGTTTGATGTGTGTTTATTCCTCCCTAAATATCGTCGGTGAAGTTCGCCATGCACGTCAGATTTTCCTGCGCATTTTTATACCTCTGCCAACAGAGAGAGAAAAAAAATCACATTCTAACAGACAGCTGGTGCTTAGAATACAGTTGAATAACTATTAAAAAACAGATGATATTTAGATGATAGTTCAGTCTAACACATGTGCCAGTGAACCATTAAACGTCTGTGAAACTATGCAGTTATGAAACGTAACTTTAACCTCAGCCAAACCGATTTGCTCAGTTGTAAATAAAACAGCGAAGTAAACGTGACCCGACAGACAGAACCTGAGTGAATGAAGTCCAGCGTTTAACCACTGAGAGCTAAAACTCAGCTGAGGTTTCAAAGCTGTGTGCCGGTGATTGGACATCAGCCGCTGATGAAGCTGTTCGCCTATAAAGTGCTCTGTAAGGAAACAAGCTCCAGCAGCTCTGCGCTCGGGGAAAACACTATATTTACTTATCTTGTGCAGAAAAATGCGCTGACATTGCTTTATATCGAGCACCGGCTGCCCAGTTAAACTGTGACTATCACCAGGTAACGTAGGCGTGTTTCTTGAATTAGCAGCAGGTGTTAAACAGCTGACAGATGAGGAGGAGAATGCATGCAGGTAAACTGAGGGTCTGTTGAGCTGATCGCTGGTTTCGTGAGAAAAATGTCAGCTCGTTATTTATGTTACAGAAGCACAGAGACACAAGACCAGGCGGAAAGAGACGATCGTTCGGTGAAAATGAGAATCTGCGAATGCAACATGTGGAACACGGAGAGTGGAATATGTAAACAAACCGGTTAACGTAACCCCCTCGGTGCACTCTGCATGCTAATTGTTAGCAGAGCTAGTGAAATCTCTGAAAACATCTGAGCACTTTTGCAAACATATTCTATGTTGACAACCTGACCAGACATACGGCGCGACATTCGCGGCTAAAACACTGTTAAAAGTGTAGCTGGTGACAGAAAAACGGGGTATTTTAAAACTACACCACCACCATTGCTGCCTGTGATTTGATCTGCATTCTGGGATACCTGGCTGCCCCAAGTCTACACAAGCAATCGATTATCTAGGATCGACCTGTTTTGACTTACTTTGCACAGCAACCAATCAAATGTTAGAGAAGCTGCATGGGCAGCGTTAACCCCGCCTCCTGAGTTTGATGGGTGAGGCTGACAGATAAAATTATTTCATGATGAGAGCCAGGCGCCAGGACTGCCAAAATGAAATAAATAAATATATCATTAAATAATTAATTAAATGTGTCAATAATTAATTAAAATGTGAAATACATAAATAATTAATTAAATGTGTCAATAATTAATTAATTACATGTGTCATAACTATTTATTTAATTAATTAATTAATTTTAATTAATTATTGCCACATTTAATTAATTATTTAATGGTGTATTTAATTAATTCATTATGGCAGTCCTGGCGTTCCATAACTACAAGCAGTGTTGGGTAAGTTACCTTAAATCCCCCCTAATATTGGTATGATCCGAGCTCAGGCACTAAGCGGGGCGGGGCAGCTGCTGCCTATGAGTGCGCTGTTGGAGAAATGGAGCTAGGCAGACAGAGGAGAACTGAAGTTTGACCAGGTACCAAAGCAAATCATTCGTACTGTACAAATAATGTAAATATGACGGTGTATCACGAAAGATTGATATCAAACTGATCACTTGACCCATATTACGTTATTTGCTCTTCAAGTGAATCAACAAATGGCGAAATGAAAA